ATGAAAGAAGAGCAAAGCAAAATTTTTGAAGCAATAACCTGTTTGAAATAGTTTTAAAATAATTATTTAAAAATAAATTGATTGGAAGTAGGTACATACTTATTTATTTTTAATAACTTAAAAACTAACTGAAATTATTTAAAACAATTTTATAAGTAACGTATAAAGAACCGAAATGAGTCAATTCAAATTGTTGAAATGTGTCAACCTATATTATTTTTTATTAACATTTTTGTTAGCCGACACTACTCAACTTGTTATTGGGAAAAACAAAATGCTTTCTAATTAGCATTTGAAACCATACTGAATTTAGTGCAGTTTTATCTGCCGGATCTCGTGAGTTTTGCCATCTGCTCTTTTCGCTTATCATATTCAATATCTCTCTCGGGTAAGTTATAGCAATGGATTCATACTCATATTGTTTTGTATGATTTTAACATATTAAAATTCTCTACCTCAGAATCTAAATCATCCGGGTTCGTCATTTAATTCTTAAGTTTGTTTTATTCTCTATCCCTTTTTTAAAACTAATCCAGTCAGTGGATCTATTAATCAACATGTCTTAACTAATTTTAATATAACTGCAGAACGATCCGAGTCTAAATCATAGTTATCCTCTAAACTAATGGAATTTGGCGAGATTTTCCTGACAATAAAGAATTGCAGAAGATCTGGTGTTTTACTTCAATCACTTGGCCAATATGTTGGTCTACCAGTGGATTGGCAGTGATAATCAATCTCTTTGATAGCTTTTTTTAGCTTTCTTCCACTTTTTGAGGTCAATCTAGAACCCCAATCAATATGTTTGGTATTATAGTCACCTCCCAAAATAAACCATTCTTTAAGGAGATTTACGAGATCTTTAAATGAATCACTCTTTATAACACGTCGCGGAGGGCACTAAAGTACACCAACATCGAAATTTTGTTCAAAAGACGCTCTTCATACAGCAACAAATTGGCTAACTTCTATTTCTACTTTACTTATTTCATTATGTTTTATATTATTCCTATTACATCAAAATTGCGCAACCATCTTTTGATTCATTATTGAGATGCGCCGTTTTATATTCTATTAATCATTTATTTACATATATTTTATATTTATAACCATTTATTTTTATATCTGCTTGCTGTTTTAAATGCGTCTCCGTTACTAAACATATACCAATATTTTGGGTCCTTAGGAATATTTGTAATATTTATTTTTATTAATATTTACGTTTTTTATTGAGAACGCCATTTGCGTTCCACGTCGCAATTCTAATTTTATCTTCGTCCATTATTTTTTATCCTTTTTGACATACATACAAAAACATTATCATGCTTGTCTTCTAATCTTTTCAATACCAATGAGATTTTGTTCATAGTTTTTATCATATTTTGCATCATCTGCATTATATTTATATTGCTTTTAGCACGTTTGAGGTGGTAAATCTCTTCGTTCTTTAGTATGGTTATATGTTTCACCTCTCGCCACTTGAGCATATTGTATTTCCTGCACTCTTTTACTCAATGTAGTTGGTTTTTTGGGTAAATTTTTTGTAGTTTTGGGAGTATTTTTTCGTATTATTTTTATTTGTTTATGTTTTGTAAGGTCATTTTTCCTTTTTTGTAATTCCTTTGCGACTATACAACCCCTGTAACTCGCAGGATGTGCCTCAGAGCAATTTGCACACTTAATAGCTTCGATTTTTTGCTTACTACAATTTATTGTTAAATGAGGAACCAGCCCACTTGACACATTGAGCTAGACGCTGGCAAAACCCCTGTATGTGCTCATATCTCTGACACCTTCTGCACTGAGCAACTAAATTATTTCTCCTTAGTGACTCAATTTTATCCTTCATGTGCTGAAGTACATCAATTTTGTAAATTTTATTTATGTCCTCCGAATTTTCAAGGATTGACATGAAGAGAGTAAGTTGGATCATAGTAATCTTGTTTTCTTTATTCCTCTTTTTAATGATATTAACGAGTTCAAGAACTTTAAAGCCCCTCTCTTTTTGCTCATTTTTAATATCTTCAGGTTAGCACGAAGGATACAAGCCTCTAACCATCACCTTCTTGGGTCTTGTCATTTTGTTTTCGTAGGTATGCCACTTTACTTTAGATTCATTTATTTGTTTTGTTAATTCTCTGTAATCTTGTTCTTGATCAACATTGATTTTAAGTTGATTATTATTCATCATGTTGACCTTGATGTATATTTTTGAATATTCCTCCACATTGCTTAATATAACAGGAGGGGGTTTGATCTTTCTTGTAGTGCATTTATTTGCATAGATTTTTCAATTTTCCTTACCTTGTCCTCAGGACTTATTTTAGCTGACATATCTGGTCTTCGCTTTTTGATTTTTCTTTGGAGAATCCAATCGGTCTCTTGAGATAGATCCTCCTCATCTGTGCAGTATTCCACTTTGTTTGTCGTACTTTTTCCGTATTTATTTCTTTTATTGTATTTACATTGCTTGATTTCAATTTTAGCTTATTACTTTCCCCTCTGAAATAATGAATTTCATTTTTTAATTCTTTACAAAGCGCTTCTAGCTCACTTATTCTTATATTTATGTGGCAGTTATCAGTTTTCCGATATTATATTTTATTAACTGCACCCAATTGGAATTTTTCTGTTTATCGCCTTTGGACATATTCTGCTTGCTTCTACCACATGGGGGTGTCCGCATGACCAGTGAGACCAATCTGCGAAGAGTGTGGATTTTCCAGAATTACTGGATTACCACCTTTTGTTTTATTCATTGCATTGATTTTGTTTTATTTCGGAGTTTACTTCTCTTAGCCTTTGGGAATAAATCTCTCGTGTAACGCAGCATTCCAAATTTCTGCCGTCACATAGGGATCAGTCGGAGACCATAAGCTTCTGGATATACACTGGATTTTTCATGTTATGTTTATTGCTTGTTACGCACCGCAAAGGCGATAACATAAGTTTTTGTATAATTTGTTCTTAATATTACTGTTTTGTTATACATTTTCGGAAAAATTAATAAAATCAGCAAAGAAATATAATTCGTACATGTTTCATAATAACGCATATGAAATATGCGAAAGAAATATGAGAAAGAGTTTTTTTAAGCTTGGTTTTACTCATAAACTTAAGTATCCAAAAAAATTTTGTGTTAATTACTTGCATTTATGTTATGTTATAATAGATACCATAGAATGTACGCAGACTGCATTCCACTATAGGTAAGTATATGGTCTCCCTGTGCAAATCTGTATCTCAATTTCGGCTGAACCGATTTTCATGAAAATTCATATTTGATTTTACTTCGGTCTCGGGAAATGGATCTTTACTACAAAATGTGGAACAGATTTTCTTTAAATTTCATATATAAGCTTCGTGTAACAGTACGAGAAGAAATCAGCTGTCACCAACAGGACTTTCAATACTGGCCAAGTTAACATTTTTGCGCATGTAAAGAAAAATAATCGCCCAATTTCCGCAAAAATTTAATGTTTGCATTCAAGGTTGTTAACACCATAAACTTATATACATATATATTCATAATTATATATATTATAATTATATATATATATATTTATAATCATATACATATATTCATAATTATATAATTACTAGGGGCCCCTGTGGTTTGCTTATAAGCAGCATTATCTGTTGTAAAAACAGGATTGTGGCAATCAATTTTAAAATAAGTTTAGAAAAATTTGTACATATTATGGTATACATATGCAGGTATATACTTGTATATGTATAAATATCATATTGGTTTGAATACTAATGATAAATAAAAGTAATGGAAATATTTTTAATTTAATAAATTTTAAGATGTAATATGTGTCACTGTTAATTACATAGATATGATTAAAATTCAAATTAAGAATTAGTTAACAATTAAGAACGAAAAATTTCCTTATAAACAACGTTATCTAGATAAGTACGTAACGTAACGTTATTCGTGTTCTTATATCTCTCACAATTTTTAGTTTTATTTTTTTTTATTCCATTCCATGTTAAATACAACAACAAAATATTATTTTACTCTTACTTAACTCATTTAAAATATTTCGCTTTTTATTTTTGTTTATGGTAGTAAAACAAAAAAACAAAAAAAATATTACTACTCTTTTTTTATTCTCTTTCGCTTTTCGCTTTTCGCTTTTCATTTTTTGTTTTTGTTTTACAGTATGCATAATCAATTGAGTAATGTATCTACCCAGTATTCTCTTTTGCTATTTTCATTTTTTTGTTTTTGTTATTTATTAGATTATATGTATACCTGTTCATGAACTGGAAAAATCTTGTAAAATATAATATAGATATAAATTTCTTGGGAATATCAGGGCTTGGAAAGCGAATTAGAGGCCGAAATTGGATTTGTTATTATATTTATGGAACTAATTGATGAAGTTTCTTGAAAAATTGAGTTCTGTTTCCTACCAAAACTAACTGACGAACTTTTCAATGATTTTGGTTAGCATAAAGTGAACGTAGAGGTAAATTTACATTTTTCTAGGTATGTTAACTAAAAGCATACTAGACTCCCTAAAATTTGTGAGAAGTTAATATATAAAGGATATTTTCGTAGTCTTATACGACATTTTAGCTAAACTAGACAATGTCTTACGATCAGTTTTATATTGGCTATATCAGATTTTTTTGATGTTATTATAACATATTATGTTAGTTAATATGTTAAGTTTATATATAACCTAATGTTATATGACATCTGTATATTTAGCTTAATTTCAATATAAATTTATTCTTGCAGAGCATTACTATATTCATGCTGAACATGTGATTCATGCACATAATACAAATGCTAGAGCAAACTAAGGCAAACTGCTAGGTGAACGTTGTATTTTTTCTCCTTAGGGGCTTCTAGTATTAATTTTAATTTTAGTTTGGTATTTGCAGTGCTTTAGTATTTGCAGTGTTTCTCTCCATTCTCTATATTTTTATTAGAGGCTCTTCTCTTTATTTTAGTAAATCAACTTTAACGCCGAGGTTTTTTTTTAAATATCAATTTTATTCTCAATTTATATATGTACTACTACAATTACAGACTATTCTTTTAATAAAGTGTAGTGAAATATACCACTTGGCTTAAAGGAAAGGAATTATAAATTATTCAAACCATCCAGAAAAAATATTTTTGACTTAAATCAGGTTGGCATAAAAGTGATGGAACCAATAAATCCACCAATTCTATTTTTAATATGACTTATAAATTTTTTCAATTTTAATCTATTAACAACTTTTAACTATTGAAATATCAAACCAATTTTAAAGAAATGTTGATAAAGTTGTTACTCTTTGAATAACTTAACTTTCACATTATTCACAATACATAAATATATACACTTTCACTAATAATAATTGTTGTATTCATATCTTTTATCTGCTTAATGCTCAAACTTCTAGTTTTGTATATTGACGCTGTGATATATGAAAAAACAGAAAAATAATTTTTAGTAGATACATCAAACACTTCTGAGAATACATGCGAATATATAAACTTTCAATGTTTGAAATGTTGTGTCGACATATTTTGTATTACTTGGTTGACAACAGCGCGTAATATGTGCGGTTTACAGTTTTCTTCTAACCATGGGACTACTCCAGTTATCAGCTGGTGAAAGTTTTCCATCGGTATATTTTGAAATGTTTCAAACATTTCGTTCATGATAGTTTGAAACTAAAAAAGGGAATAAAATTGTAAATTACTTAGTTATACCTGTTAAATAATCATTTTTTTACGATTTTGAATTTAGAATCATCCGCAACTCTCGCTTCTTGTGGACCTGGATTTGCTTGTTGGTTTTTTAACATTGTTTCATAGCTTTGTTGTATTATACTTAAAGCCATAACTTCTTTTTGTAAAGCCGCTTTCTCTTCTTCTTCTTTTTTTTTCTTTTGATTAAGATAACTTATGTAGTCAATAGATTTTTGCAAAGTTGTAGCTTTACTTAACTTATAACCGGAGTTATCATGTTGATTACAAGCTGGCACTAGTTCTTGTAAAGCATCATAACCTTTTTTAATAGCGTCACGTCTTTTTTGTTCCGCCTGAGTATGCGCTTCACGTCGTCTTTCCTAAAAGAAAACATAAAAATTAGTGTTTTCTAATTTGAGACTTAATTTTGAATATATGTACACAGCTACTTATACACATTATTCCGTGCATCAAATTGGTTCCCTTTCACATAATTCTTTAAAATCAAAGTAAAATAAGTCTGACAATGACGACTATAGCTTATAAATTATCTTACAAAATCACAAACTTAATAAAAATAAAATTATTTTTTTTTGTACATACACTTGTTTTAAAAAATTTGATGAATTACTTAGAAACTTCAAAGAAGTTGATGATTTATGAAAAATTAAAAAGTTAATGAAATAGGTATTTTTTGATAAATTTAAACTTCAACTGATAGTAACGATTGCTTGCTTCACAATTTGGCTGTGATCATTTTGATGCTTTTGATCTTGGTAGTACTGTTCTGGGGGTTGATAATATCCTGATTTGGGTAGACGAGCACTTGGGTAGTGACTGTATTCTTGGTCCTGCTTGGGTGTTTCTCAGAAGGGTTAGTATACGTTTACAAATTTGGTGGGGTTCGCGCAGTGGTCAAGTCAATGCTATTTTTACTGATGTTAGTAAGGATTTCGATACTATTTCTGATCAGATTATTCTCTTAAAGGTAGCTCTTGCCATTCTGCTCTGTTTTATATCAATTGTGCTACGTCAGGCGTTTTGGAGGGGAATCATTTAGGTCCTATACTCTTTATTGACGGGCTTAAAAATTTTTCGACTCCGTTCTGGATTTCGCATTTTATAATTATTCCGGTTAGAGATTTGGATAGTTTTAGTTTGTAGTGTCGAAGTAATACTTAGGAAGAGACTTATGTATTCTGGTAAGAATTTTGGGAGTAATACAAAGCCGGGTTTGTCATTGAATTCGCCAAAGCTTGCATTTTGTTTGTTGATTTGCATGTTACAAAGCATTCATATATACCATTTAAGCAACCGATTTTGGAGTATACTTGCCAGGTTTAACCACACTGTAAGACGATTAATGATTCGTATATTGAATCTGTTCAGAAAACGTAATTCCACGTTGCTTTGATTGGTCTATTATTTATGTACATATATTTATTTATTTAGTTTTTTCTTAAACTCGAACTTTTTACAAGGTTATAGAATGTTACCTTTTTTTTTAAATAAATATTTTTTTTCAAATCAATAGCTTTATACAAAATAACGAGGTCGATTTATATAAGATTAAAAAAAATGATTTTACTTTCTCATTTAACCGACATAGGTTTCACTTAAGACTAATTTTACAATAATATTAACAACCCATTTATAATAATTTCTGTGTTTAAATCGAAATTGTTTAAAACGAGCTACAAATAAAACAAGTAAAAACGTTTCAGTCGGTATAAATCGACCGAATTATACCTGCACGTTAGCAACCTTAGTTTAAGGTTTGTTTTTGAAATATCTAGAATTAGCTTTCAATGTTATATACCCAGTATTCGAACGTGACAAACCACTTTATACAAACTGCATGGGTATGTCTGACCTATAAGTGGACACAAAACTGCCAAGCTTCATGAATTTAAATCTATTATTTTCCGAAATCATTAAAATTTACTTTTGGAGTTGTATAGCAGCCACCCGAATATGTCAAGTCATTCCAACTAAACTTTAGGAATATATGTGACCAACAATTGTACCCATGACTGCCAAGTTTCATGAATCTAGCTTTATTATTTTCCGAATATTTAAATTTAGCTGTTCGAGTTGTATGGCAGCCACCCGAACCTGTCAAGCCATTCCACCAGCACTTAAGGGATATATGTGATCTATAATTGGACACACGACTGCCAAGTTTAATGAATCTAACTTTATTATTTTTCCAAATATTTAAAATTAGTTTTTAGAGCTTTATGGCAGCTACCCGAACCTGTCAGTCATATCACCAAGGATATACTTTAGGATATGTGACATATAATTGGAGACGACTGCCAAGTTTCATGAATCTAACCGTATTATTTTTCGAAATATTTAAAATTAGCTTTTGAAGTTGTATGGCAGCTACCCGAACCAGTGCAGCCATTCCATTAAAACTTTTAAAACATATGTAAAGTGTACTTGGACACATCTTGCAAAATTTGATATTGATATCTTTATTTGTTTTTGAATTATTTAAAAAAAACCTCTTTGAATTGTATGGCAGCAAAGAAACGACTTTGGAAAGTTTGATGACGATTACTTTATTAATTTTTGAGTTATCGTGCGATCGGATGGACAGACATGTCATCATCGCAGAATTTTAAGCTGAGCAAGAATATTATATATATGTACATATGTTCATACCGGAGACGACTCCTTCAAGTGGTTACAAACTTGAACCATGCAAAAGTGAATATATCCCTCACGAAGTGCTGGGCATAAAATATTCAAATTTAGGTATATAAATGGCCTAACAGTCATTACTCAGCCATACACTCATTTAAAGCCCCGATTGTCTGAACTACGTAGATAATTTTGTGTTTTAAAAAAAATATTTTTTTATATACAGAAAAGATATTATCAAAATATATTTATTGAACATAAAAAAATATGGTTATAAATATATTTTATTTCACTTTTTAATACGTATGTACATATTACATATTTCTTTTTTTTAGGTATGTACATATTATACATATTTCCTTTTTTTTTATCTTTCTTTCGCACTCATATTTAAATTTAACTTTAAAAAAATTAAAACGCGTGTAAATGCATGTATTAACGCATCACAATATTTTTGACATGAATTTTTCATAAACATTTACATTCGAAAAGTCAAAATCGTTTTCGGGGGAAAACCCGTTTAACTTTGGTATTACCAAATGTTGAAAAAAAAAATATTTGAAAAGGGGTAAATATTTAGAAATGGGTAAAATATGTCAAAAAAACTAAAAACAAATTTGTCCAAAAAGGTGTGAGCTATTATTTTAAACGGGGGCAAAGCATGAAATATGTAATTGTTTAAATCGAAATTAGTTATATAGGGGTAGTTTAAAATGGGGGATTCCTGTAGTAGATTTGCAATTTACTTAAAAAGTTATAAAGTGGATGCACGTCCGATGCTTTATAAGAATTTAATTGAACTTTTATTCCCATGTAGGTAAGAATGGTGACACATGTCTGGTGTTATATTAGTTGTTTGCTGTTATGTTAGGTCGTCCCTCTGTAAACATCAGCGTCTCGTGGATTAGAAATTTAAGGTGACGAGATGTAATCCAATTTGGCCTGTTTCATTGCGTGATTTGCTTAAGGCAAAACCCATTTTCAGCAACGGTTCCTGAATAAGATCATTAGCAGTATAATGACGATGATCGACCAACCGATGGTGTTGGTGATAAAGTGGTCCATTTCTACAACTTATTCCGTTGTAGGTTACATGCTCACCATCTAATTCCTCGCCATATTTCCTTATTTTGTATTCCTTCAAGATTTGATAAGCTCCTTTCACTAGAACTTAGTTTACTTTGTATGGTTGGCTGTTGTTTTTAATGACATTATTTTGGCTTGTCAGTATTTTATCATAATCTTCTGCATCTGGGTTCCCTGCAATATCCTTCCATGCAGATCGTATTTAATTAACTGAGTGCTTTGAGGTTAGTTATTTGGTATATTCTTTATATGCGCCTTATGAATTCAGCGTCCTAAAGCTGTTGTAAAAATGACCCTACTGTTTTTTGCGACTCTTTATTTTCCTTCTTTGATAACAAACTAGTTTATGAATAGTTTCAAGGGTGCTTCGTCATGTCATATTAAATCCGTCTTCTTGTGCACTATGAGCCGTGTCTGTTGATGATGTTGTAAGAATGTTGACTTCCAATTGCAATCTTGACAAAGCACCTGCTACTTTATTGCTACTGCCTGGTTTATAATTAAGCTCGTGATTAAATTCTTCTATTCTCGCTTTCCACCTTTTTAATTTGACATTGTTGTTCCTGCTGCTGAGACTAAAAATTAGCGGCTGTTGATCTGCAAGAATTTTCATCATTTTGGCACCACACAAATAGTTCCTGAGATTATTCAGTGCTCATACTATAGCCAGTATCTCCTTCTCATTCGTGGCATAGTATTCCTCTGTTCGGTTTAGTGATAAAGAAACAAAGGCAACTGTACGATTTTTCTGCTCCTATGACAACAAAGCTCTTATATTTTTATTCCATGCGTCAGTAGTCAGCATGAACGATTTTTCGAGAATTCTAGTATTTCCGATGAAGATAATAGGTCTTTCAAATTCTTAAATGCTTTTAATTGTTTTTGGCTAAGGGAAATTTTTACTTTTTTTGACTGGTTCGCTTATATCTGTCCTTATACACGAGTCTGGTGTTATGTTCGATGTTACGTTAAAGAAACAATGATAAAAGTAAAGAAACAATAATTTATATTCATAACATTCTAATAATAATTTATATTCATTTAAAGATTTGTCATTAATGAGCGGAATACAGTGATAATTGATGATAATTGACAACTCTGAAACATCACGAATGACTGCAATTTTGGCGATAGAATGGTAATTTACTACATCATTTATACTGACAAAAGCTTGCTACCAAATGAACGGAATATAATATAACGAATAAGAATTATTAATGATGAAAGCTAAAGAATAATAGCATTTCATCTCCATCTTGTTCCGTTCGCTATTAGGGTACTAATTATAATAGGAATCAAGAGCTGGTTACTAGGATTTTGCCTTTTTTCTTATTCTTTGTTATTTGACCCACCGTTAGCAAGGTTGCTCTTAAATCTTAACTTCCGGGAAATTTAAATTCGTTACAGTACTTTTTTTTCGACCTTTTATTGTTTTTGATTTGTAGAAAACGGAGGATAGTCGGAGAGCTAATGATAAAAGTATTATAATGACAAATGTCATATTGGCGTTCTTTGCCGGAGATGATACATTTGACATCACTGAAAACAAAGATTGGTGAAAGGTTTTTTCTATCTTTTTTAATAGATATTTTATAGTACAGTAATAAATTTTAATAATTGAAAATGCAGTCAAATACTTCATCGG